CAGAGGGGAAAAAAAAAAATCTCTGTCCCTGAAAAGGCAGATGCAAAGCCCCAACTTACTTGTAACCAAGAAATAAGAACAATCAAAAATATGGAACAACTTCTGCACAATAAATGACTACATAGGCTAGGACTCCTCAGGCTGGAAAAGATGCAAGTGAAGAGGGACGTGACATAGGCTCATGAACTCATTAATGGCCTGGAGACTAGACAGACAGCAGAAAAATATACTGGCAAACCAAGAGGAAAAGGCATTTAGAAAAGGAGGAAAGGAGAACAATAAAAGTCCCTACACCACCAGTCTTTTACAAGCTGTTGTTGCTTTTGAAGCAGTGACTAATTCAAATAGACCAGGCTCATAGTATAAGAAAATGACTCTTCATTTAGGAAAAAAAATTACTGTTCACAGTTTTTACTCATCCAGTGTCTACACCTCATTGCACCCACGTTCAGATACCTGTAGATGCTGCTGGTCTGTGTGTGCAGGTGGGATCCCAGTATGCGTTCTGGGACACCATCCACCATTGCATGGGCGAAGTTTTGTACTCAACAAGTTTTTGGACTCAACTTGCCTGGGGTTTCTTCCTCTTATTCATGCCTTTGCCTCACCCAGAAACAGCTGCCTTCTTAGAGGTTCTCTACACAAAACTGTTTCCTGTCTTGCGCCGCTGTTAATATCGATTAGGAAATGCTTTCACTTATTGCACACAGGGAACATGCCTGCTCTGTATGACCTTCTTTTACCTAAATGGCACTAAGCCACGGATCTTAGTAGGGGTTCAAGTGCAGATCAAAGTGTCACAAGTGCATCCTAGGGCAACATCACAGTCAGGCTGAGATTAGCTTTTGGCAGGGGGTTGTCCTTCCACAGAAAGCTCAAGTTTTAGGCAAATACTAAAGAATTAGGTTTAACTTAAAAAAAAAAAAAAAACAACCTCATGCCTCAGCAAGAGCACATAAGAACACTGCTGAACTCAAGGCCTGCAAGATGGGTTTGTCCTGTGCCTTTTAGACATGGTGCAATCTCAGAGGTCTGCGGCAAATTGGCAATGTGAGATGAGCTCTTGCCTAATTAGCAGATTTTCCGTTGTGCCTCAGTGACTGCACTGCAGAGCCTGGCCACCCTCCGCTAATTTGCAACACCTCCAGCTTTAAAACACGTTCTTTCATTCCAGTACATCACGGCCAGCTGGAAAAGCACCTGCCAAGTGGAGAACTCACTTGCAAAGGTTCACGTCCAAAATGAGGCCTGGGACTTGGGCAGTTCTGCACTGGTGACTCAACACTTCTCACACCTGGGCTTCTTGCTAAATCCAAGAGGCAAATCAGAGAGAAATACTTATTCCATTATGCCCATACAAATAACCATGGGCTAGCACCAGGATTTTTAATAGATCTTGCTCTCATAATTCCCACACATAAACACATTGCAAGACACAGGTTGGTTACTCCATCTAGTAACAGGCACCAGGGTCTTTATTCTACCTTTTTAAAGTTTTTAGCATTTAGAAAGGCAGTGTCACCCTTTGCTAACAACTCTAAGTGGGCAGTGAAAGCAAGGCTGGGAGCTTCCCCAGGGACAGGGCTCTACCATGAGCCACAGGTGCAGTGCCCTGGGCCTGGCAAGGCTGGGGTGGGAGGGCTGAGGACCCTGCCCAACAGCAGAAGCTGTCCACCAGAGCTGAGCCTGGCTGCAGGAAAGACCCCAGCATTTCCTACAGGGATGGGTCTAAAGACATCTCAGAGCCCAGAGCAGCACGCTGGCACAGTAGAAAGGGGGAAGTTTTATAGAGATTTGTAACAGAAATGCTAAACCAGGTTTTATTAAGTTTGAAGTACAAATGAAAATACCTGCGTAAACACCCAGAAGAAACAGCAGAACAAGATTTAAAAGAATGGCTTCTATAGAAAGTGCAGAACATTGCTCCCAGTCAAATTGAGGAATGATTTGTTTCCATCTAGCCCAGACAGCCTGTGCTCTGATACCTGGGAGAGGACGAGCAATGAAGCACAGGAGCTTCCCAGGACCAAAAGAACATGGTTGCAGTTTAACAATTATTGCACTAATGTGGGAGAGAAGTGCCCCGTAAACAGAGATTGAAACTCAGTCCCTATGTTCTGAGCTGTCCTTTCTCACACCTCCAAAGCTTACACTCTGCTCACTCAGTATTTTATTTCTTGACAAGAAAAAGTGGATGCCAATTGAAATTTGTTTTATTTAAATATAATTATCATGCAAATACTACAAAATATATGCTTATACAAAAATCTCATTGTCAGTCAACAGTCATAACTAGCAATAAGGCATATTACTGATCATATTATTACAGCATTACAAATTCAAAGAACGAATTAATTCCTTGCAAGAGAAAATACAAGAGCTGATGTGCGAGGTCTAGGGGTCTATCTAGCATCTCATATGATATTCTTCACTTCACTTCTGTTCGTATCTCATTTACATAACTTGCCATACCTATACTCACACCTTCTTGCGCTTGTCCTGTAGGTGGATCTTCTCCAGAGTGGTAAGGAATTACAAAGAAAGGTGTTAAGTTTCAGGTATTAGGAGAAAGGCAGAGAAATACCACATGCTGATTTCAACCCATGCATTCTTGGTTCCACTTCAGGTGAATTTTCGGTGGTCTCTGTAACACGATACAGTGGCCCCTTGTGTCCAAGCCAACAGTAAGGTAACATCTGCAGCTAAATCACCTTGGAGCTACGTAAGACAGGAGCTGATACCTTTGCCTAAGCAGGTAGCAAACCTGCTTTCCATGCTCTGAGAGAGGAAAGACAACCTACCGGATTGGAAAAGGCAGAATGCAATGCCCGAGACTGACCGGGAGGCCTGTAGCCATCATCTGCCTGTAACTTTTTTCCTGTTCAGTGCCCAAAGACCGCAGAACAGGAGCAACCTCATCTGGTTAGCGGTGTCCCTGCTCCCTGCAGGGGGGTTGGACTAGATGACTTCTAGGCGTCCCTTCCAGCCCAAAACATTCTGTGATTCTATGATTCTATGATCATAACGAAATCTAGCTAAAATAGACAGGAAAAAGAGTCTCCTACCTTGGCTAAGAACACTCCGGCTTCAGCCTGCCCACAACCCCTGGGGTGGGGGAACGCATCCACCTTCTAATTTGTACCCACAATCATCATAAGCTCAGGATGAATTTCTGGCATGCACTTGGGCACAGAGGTCCCTAGAGGTGGAGTCCAGTTCAGGCGATTCCTGTGTCTCAAGCAACCAGAGGAAGCTATATCATTCTCCAAAGCTCAGCACTTTTCACTCCCGTTGCTTCTGACAGGTTTCTGTCACCCTATTTTTCTAGTGCCAAGTGGGCCTAGTTGCACGCACACTTACTCATCCAGTACCTTCTCCACCAACCTTGTTCCTTTCTCATTCATTCCTATCAAATAACAGAAAGTATTCTTCTTCCATTTCATGGCACTTCCTCTTTCTCTTTGGCTAGGCAAACTTCTCCTCATACAACCACATTCTCCTCCTTTTCTCTTTTCCTGCCAGCATCTCCATCTATTTTGCAAGGAAAAAATAATAATGCATTTATATAATATATAAAGTTCTGTATTATATATTATAGATAATTATATATTGTTTCTATTTATATAAAATATTTTATAATATACAATATTTAATTGTATTTTATATAAGTATATGCATTGTGTATATACTATACATTCTATTCTATATAAAATTAATATAATATCTAGTCTATATATAGCATATAACATACATAACATATAATGTATGTATATTTTATTATATATCATATATAGCATATTTATTGCTGTCATGACCTTTCCCTGGCTTTGCAAAAGTTGGAAGACATTGAGAGGCATTGGCGGGAAGCAAGGGACGATGGCGTGGCAGAGACCGTCGTTGGGTTTGCCCTCGGAGAACAAGGCTTGTTTCTGTTCGTGCCCCCTCGTTCCCAGGTTTTGGGAGCCAGGCTGTGGAGCGTCTCACAGGCGCCTGTGGCAGGTTTGCCGTAGCCTTGGCCGATCTCGCTGCTGGAGGCTTGGCGTGTTTAATCGGGTAGTTTTTCTGATTAACTTCTCCATTTTTTCTCTCTCTGTTATTTTTGAATGCGGATTTTATTCGTTCCTGATTGTTTTGGCCAGTTTTGTCTGGATTTAAACCCTTCGGACCCAGCCTTCTACTTCCACAGCAAGACTGACTTTAATGCCTAGCTTCAGGAGATGCAGAATTTCCTCAGCCCTTCAGCGCTCAGAGCAAATCTGTCGTGTTTTAACCCAGAAAACAGGGCGCGGGGCGGGAAGGCCGTGAGGGCCGACCCGTGTGAGGCGAGGCCGCCCTCTCAGGGTCAGGCGGACTACAACTCCCGTCAGGCTCCGCGCC